AAACAAAAACAAAATTCGTGTACCTACAGCTCGTGAAATTGTCAAAGTGCTGAGGAGTTGAAGCGTTTCGCGAGTGGAACTCATAAAGTAGTATTATGCACAACAATCAAAAATCTTTTTTCATGGAACCACATTCGCTAGTGCGTCGTTATGACTCAAGAAAGAGTGGCTGTGATGTTGGGAAATTTTCCTAGCGCATTTAAAATGTCCTCTTACGGTCATGAGCTCACTGTAACTGAAACTCTTCTTATCCCAAAGGGTAGTTTTTGTTCCAAAGTGTAGTATCTTCGGAGTAAGGGTTGCTCAAGGTTGAGTGTCGTCACGAGGAGCGTTGCGTGACGACACTAAAAACGGCTGTGTAGCAGACTACAGCGTGGTACGCGGAATCCAAGATTGTTTTGGATTCATAGTCTATAGCCAAAAAAATCGCTTCTATTGCCGTCCCCCGCCCTCAGTCTACAACGATCTGTGATCCTGTACTGAGACAATTGACATGAAATGGTGACGAAATGCTTAATGCAAACACGAAATAACTCATATCAAGAGAGGGTATTCAGACACAAAATCAGACTCTAAAACAAAACTCAGGCTTTTACCAGGAAAGCACTATTAATGACATTACGCTTGAATTTTTATCTGCTTAGATAGCCAGGTACAAAATCTAGAAAGGTAGAAAGTGAATTTTAAATTATTTACTTTGGAGAGTAGCCAAAAGTAGCTGATGTCCTGGAGAGCGTATATTTATATAACAGCGGTAATTTAGTGTATACATTAAAAGAAACATGTTATACAATCATATAACCATAACAATTAACTTAGTTTTGCTATAATGATTTACAAGGCTTGAAATCTTAGGAAATATTTTAAAGGGAGAGAAAAAAACAAACAAACAGACAAACGAACGAACGTCTTTGAAAATTAAGTCCTAACCAACGTTGAAACAACTGTACCAAAGAGAGAAATTTAAAAGAAACATTCCGATTACATAATGCATACATAATCTATAGCCAAACACATATATATCACTGTCAGAGGCATACAACCCTGTTCACCGGCTAAATGCTTCTGATATTACATATTTCCATTGCTTTTTGCTATTTTTGTTAAAACTATTTTTAACGCTTAATATACTTGTAAAATGAGAAGCTCCAAACATTCTTGTACAGTAAAATGGGTATAGACTTAACACCATTGAATTGATTGATTAAAATAAAATTTAGTAAATCATTTTTACCACGCTAAGTATCAAATAAAATAAAAGAAAAATAAAGACTCTTAAAGTTACTTAAAAAATGTTTGCGAATCGACCCAGAGCAAAATTAAAACGGTGGGAATAGTAATAACCGTCCATGTCGAAGATATAAAAGCTTAAATTTAAATGCAAGAAACTTTTTCTTCTCAATACATGAGAAGAATGTGTGATTCCCCCAAAATATTTTTTTCCCTCAATACAAGCGTCGTTACAATCTCTATGTGGATGGCTAAAGACTGATTACAGTTATTTTTTAACATTCGGGTTGTTGGCAACGGTGCCACACAAAGTCATAGGCTGAATTGACGATTTTGCCGTAAACTGAGAGTGACCGTGATTACCCTTAATAGCATGGCCACCATGGTTTGGAAGCCTCTTACTTAGAAATCTTTCTACAAAAATCTATTACGAGGTCAAAGAGTATAAAAAAATCGTAGATAAACTACAAAAAAGGGGACGATAAGCTTTTACATTTTTTTTTCTCGCAAAAAGGGAAAACAAATCAAGCCTTTTGTGACCCCTTTTCTGCTCTACGAATGACAAATTAAGCTAAAATGCACAGCACATTTAATCTAACAATAAAGAGTGAATTCAACTTTATCGTTAAGCTTGATAATTAAAAAAAAGGAAATCTTTAGTGAAAAAGTTAATGAAACGTTTAAAATAGCACTAAGACTCGTTTAAAATAGCACTAAGAGGCCCTCAGGTCTTTTCTGTTTATAATCTCATTGATCTTGACGTTGTAAATCGCGGTAAACAGGCTTTCGACCATTTAGAGCAAACTTTAACTCGCGCAAAACCCGTGGCCATGTTGATTTCATCAATATTGTAATACTGACCAAATGCATCAGTGAAATGATCATTTCGTTAAGAGGTTAAGTTGTCTAAGTTTTATGCAATAATAAAGCTTACCTTTTCTTTTACTGTGTGGCTTCACGTTCAACGCGGCTGTCTAGTAAACCCATTTTTGTTCCTCGATAAATTCAACGTCCAGAAAAATATGGAACTGTAAATGGACGCTACAAGCAAAGGCAAAGATGACGCGAATTATGTGACACGTGACTCCAGTATGTTGCATGTGACCGAGGTTAATTTGATAAAACTTTTATTATTTTTTTTCGTGTATTAAATTTACGAGTGTAGTCCTGTTTTCCTGGATTTATAGAGTGAAAAATAGCATATTCACACTTGTCCCATGATCACCGATTTTTTCTAAATTTCCAAATGCAGTCGAAAATCTCCTAACGGCGGGACAGGTACACGTATGTCAAAACTTATGTGCGGCTTTGAACAAGGGGGTGGGGGTGGGGGGAATAGTAAGCGTAAAGAAGAAGAGCATAACACTCTAACTACTTGAGATTCTCTATGGACATTTCCAAAGTGTACGAGTATTTTCGAAGTCAAAGCAACGATCGCTATTAATAAAGTGACGATCTTAAAGAACAAGGCGACGATCGCATTGCTATTTGACAGCCGTGCGACGAAAACCAAAGCGGCAATTAGAATCTGTCAATCATTCCTGGGGACATTTAGTATCATGCCCCCCATTTTGCTGCCAAAAGCCATTTTTACGGATGTACAGTGACATTACCTGTGACATCGTCCACTGCCTACTGCCGCCGTCTGTCTTCTCTCATGATTGAGGCTAGTAAAACATCAGGTCCAGGTTGTTCAAACGTTGTATGGCGCTATCCACCGGTAGATCACTATCCAGCGAAACCAATTTTGTGGATAGAGATTTATCCGGTGGATAGCGTTCTCTACCTTTTGAACAAGTGGGCACTGATGAAATGTGACTGGTGACGTATTGTTCGAACGACTGAAGGAAAACTTAAAGAAAGTCTTGTAATGAGTGGTATTCAGAACCAAAAACTATCGAGCGAAGTTGGGATGTAAACAAAGTTTTCCCCATTTGAACTACCGTATTTGCTTGAAAGAGCGCTGCCCTGTTGGAATAAGTACCACACCTGAGAACATCCGCACCCATCTGAACCTTTTTTTGTAGCATTATTTCTAAGTTTGATATTAAGCAATGATTGCATTGGGCTGAGTCTGCTCTAGTAGAAAACAAAAAAAACAAAAACAAAAAACAAACAAAATAAAAACACTGTCCTGTTAACTTGTAAAACAGTTATCTTCTCGTTCATTTTGTAATTAGTTGAACTCCTTTAGCTTTGAGAACTTCAAAAGGTCCCACCAAAGAAAAAAACATTATAACGGATTTTCTTTTTTACTTGCGGTACCGTATTACAGTTTGCATTGCTTTGGGGTTAAAAAAAAAAAAAAAAAGAACTTTAACGCAAAGAAGCGAATTTTTTTAAAAATCATTTTGTAGTTTTTTCCATTTCGCAGAGTGTATATGTTGTGGTTCAGTTTTATCCTTGGTTCAAATTTTATTTTCCTTTGTTGCAAACTCATTATCATATATTACTATACCCAAAAACAAAGGAAAATAAAATTTAAACCAAAGACAAAATTGAACCACAACATATACTGTTACGCTTTCAGGCCACTAAACCGTGAACGTTGGCTTGTAATCAACGTTGATTGTACAATTAGAAAATGATTGCACTTTCCTACTACATTGTTCCAGCTGTTACTACTTTCCACCAGTAAAACAGATGTGTATTCATTGCGAATAGGTTCAGCTTTATTTTCTTATAATTACTGGTGTGACGCTACCTCGACTCTTTATAAGCCGTACACCTCTCTGAAACGGACAGACGAGGCCGGTCCCGAAGGTGTCCGTCTTACAGAGATTTAACCGTACCCCGAGTACCAGAGGTTTTTTCTCACGTGCGGCGAGGAGCTTAGTAGGCAGCAGCCCGCCACGTTTTCGGCCGAAAAGACTTGACCGAAATAACCGCGCATGAAAAGCCTCTGGTACCTAAATAAGAAATTAAAAGAAATTTCATATCTCAAAGCTACCAAAATAATAAAGAAAATCGATGGGTGGTCTTTTGAAGATATTTATTAGTGTACATCATGGTATTGTCTCCTACGTCAATGAAGTTATACAAGAAAATACTCAGAAAATATAGTCCTTCAAAGATAAACTATTCATTCATTAGTTGAAAAAATAAAATAAACGGGACTTTAATCGATAATTTTTCTTCTTTCAAACTATTTATTCTTCAAATCGTATTCATGCTGTTTCCATGGCTACCGATTAAAGTTACCTTTTATATTTTCGGATTCAAATTGCGTTTTAACAGCAAAATTTTAAATGCGCCTATGGCTTCATAAAAATAAAATTAAAAATTAAACAAGTAAGGATCAACTTGGAATTTCGCGGTTATAACTTTTCACTGTCACTAGAGAGAGATAAACTGAATATTTTACGACCAAAGGAGAATCCGTATGTATAAATCGCGCTTAAACTTTTCCTTCAAGATGGCGCGGTTCTCATTTTTTTGCACAAGTTTTACGCTTAATCGGGTTTTGAACTGAAATTTTTATGAAAGAAAAGAATAATAAGTTTTTTTTGTTGAATGTGAATAAGCTCTTATTCACCAGCGGGATGTATTTGTTTTGGCGCAAAAACAAGGTCCAATACTTTCACCAATTTTAATATTTACGTTGACAAGTACTCAAACGACCTGTCATTTTTTGTTTCATGGAATAGAAAATTGACAAGTGCGTTTCGAATAGTTAGAGCACTATTAATATTTACTCTATTCTGACTGACAGATAACTTTAATATCTCTGGAGCGAGTAGCGAAGGGAAGTTATCAAATTTATTAGCGTCATGACGACAGAAATTTCAATTGAACGCGAGGCCAATCTACGGGCTCAAAAGAAAAAGATTCTGCGATTACAAAGGCTGAAATACCTCACCGGGAAACTTGAAATGGCAGACGCACTAACAGCAAATGACGCAGAAAATAAGGATGCCTCATTTGCTCAAGGAAAGGAAGAAAAGTCGAGCGATCAACTTTGCACCAAGGAGCCGCCAGTAGTCGCTTATGAGGAAGTGAATGAAAAGCTCACAAACGTCTCTGTTACCAGTGGTAACTCTGATCGAAGTGGAAACGAGCCATATGCGCCAAAACATAAGAGTCCTGTTTTACCGAGGAGAAAGCGACATGACGCTGAAGTGACAGTCGAGCAATGTCAAAAGCTAACTAACATAGACAGTTCGAAATTTTCCATTGTTGTTGATAATTCTGAAGTCGAACGATACACACCTTCGGTTGCGTCTCTTTCTTCGGAATATCATCGGAAAACGATTGAAATCAAGAAGAAAGCTGACGAACGGAGGCGAAATGTTGGATCACCAAGATATAAACATCCTACCCTACTGAATTTATCATCAAACAGCAATTCTTTGGCGGTTAATAACCTTCAACTGCGTCGAAGTTCAAGCCTTACTGAGCTGCGCCATCAGGATAATCAAGAAGAAATTCAACATGCCCAACACGCTACAATCAATCACGGAACTAGATGCAAAAGTGAAGATGTAAGAGCGGTAATCCCGAACGAGATTGCGGAGCATGAAACCGCTCCTTTCCCGCTACGTGCAGCCAGCATATCTTCCATAACCGATGTATGTCTCACAACAGAAAAAGAAGATATGAATTTTGGAGTTTTCGCGCGGAAACAACAAGAAAGACTAGAAGATAATTTACGACGTGTGGAGCAAAACCTAGACAGCACTTTCAGCAAATTACGACGTTATATAAACGCAACGAACGAAATATTAGAAACTGTCAAATTAAAAGAAGACACGTGATCTCCACAATTCTTCATTGTGATAAGTTTAGATGGGCGCAAGATGCCAGAATATTGTTGTCTACAAAGCTATCCGTTCGAAAAAAAAAACCCACTTAAATTTATGGAAATTGAGAGACCACGAGATATCCAAATAAACTAGTTTTCCTCATTCATTATTTAAAGCGAAGTAGCGATTTTTGGATATACAGAACATCCTGTCGACACTATCTGCTGATAGTAACGAATCTTTTATCACCATTCAAAACAAAATAACTTCTTTTTTTCGTATGATTTCCGAAATATTGTTACAGATTTAAATTCCCACGTCTTGGCTTTTTACCTAATTTAATTCCACAAACTAAAAGAAAATATCCACTCTAGAAAGTCTTTTTAAGCTAAAATGACCTCAGCAAAAATTTTTTTTATGAGAGTTTATAGCCCATCACAAAACTTTTCTTGATATTCCACATATATTTCAACGCAAACGACCTTCGAAGATTTTCCGAAAATTTTTCGACTCGGCTATTTAAAGGTTACGGCGGTCTCCCGAAAAAGATAACTCAGTACAATTAGATCTTAGACGTGATACTGTAAAAATAAACTTTATACATAAACAATGTACCTCTCCCATCAAATACTATAGGTGGTGAAAACGAAGTGAGATTTATCGCAGATCGTTTTTCAAAACATCGTTTGTCCTAGTGAATGGGACCATCGAGCTCGCATGAAAGATCTGGAATCTCGCACAAGAAGGGCCATAAAAATGACTGTGCGTAGCAGGACAGCCGCTCCAAAACCGCAGGCGAAAGTTGTAGGACAATACAAAAGTATATCGCGCTAACAATTTACTGACGGGTTTCTGCTGTGCAACTTGAAATACCAAAGGATGTGAGGAATTCTTAACAAAATTCTCCAAACTGCACTTGGTCTAAAATGTGACACAAGTTCCGTTGACTAGCTGACTATGCATGAAGCGAAGACGGGTACAGGCCTGAAAGACGGAAACCAAAACAGCAAATGTTCGCTTCAGTTGGCCGGAATGTGTAAATGAGGACTCATTTTATTAGCGATCGAACAACGGGGCGAATAGCACGCGTTTTCTCTGTAAAACGTCACTTCCATGCTGGGCTGGGATTGGTGGACTTATAAGCGTGCGTAAACGCAGACTAAGGTCAGAAAATCTTCAATGGGAGAAAGGCGCTTCAGATCGTTTTTTAAGAGAAAGACGAATTTAAAAAGTTTACCAGCAATGTCACCACAAAAATAACAATCAAGTTGAACAATAGGGCGCTTTCTAAAACGCAAAATACGTGCTGCCGACTTGAAGTCATGCGTTTTTTGGCGTTAATACACTTTACTTTTCAAACTTACGTTCTGTAGCAATAGTCCAGTGGCCAATTTTAAAAATAGCCTTATTTTAAGAGTTGGCTGCACCCTCCTGTGGCAAGCTCGTTTATTAAGGCACGCCACTTTATGAAGCGTAGGCACGCTTCTCTGTATTGCACTAAAGCGTGCACGAATAGGAAAATGTCGATGAAAACGGACATTTTTCAGTGACATCCAGCGCGAGGGTCGTGTATTGCGTGTAAGCAATTTCCCTATTCTTGTTAAAAATCTTCAATTAGGCACGTAAAGGAAAACAGGAAGGCACGCAGATGAATTATATGCGCTGCTATTGGTTAAGTTACCTTGTTTTGGCAATTATATGAAAGGGCTACCCGCAGGATACCAAATGATCGCTAATCCATTTGCACATTAGAATTAGCGAACACCGCTTGCAACTTGTTACCTTTACACTTCGTCTTTATTTATTCATGAGAGAAAGTCGCTGGTCGTAATAGAAACCGATCTATTTATATGATAAGTTAAAGTGCAGTGTGACATTTTCAACAATCACCTGGTTTACTTGTTCATGCGAATGGAAGTACGTGGATTATTTACTTCTTGCTATGACTCGCTCACAACAACTTTTTAAACCGTCGCGTGGAAACCAAGGCAAAGAGTATAATTTTATTTTTTTTCTTGAAGTAAGCCATGGCTCTGATACAAGAAAGGGAACGCTCTGCGTTATCGTTCATTTCACAAAATGAAGAAGATAATAACTTAACTTATTCAACGAGCGTTAAAACTTCCCAAAGAACTCGGCAAGCACACAGCTCTTCGTATCTTCCTCAACTGAAACACAGGTATGTTCCTTCGCTGTATTTCAACCAGGATAAACAACTCACCCGAAAAATCAGAGAATTTCTCAAAAAGCCGCCTCTTAACTCCCAAGAATATTTCGATATGTTATGGTTAAGAAGGCAAAGCGAGCCATCTGGTAACAAAGATGACGACGATTTACGCCGCATTAAAAGTGCGCCATCGTCACCCGATGAACTTTCAAAGAAGCTTTGGCATTTGCTTCCTGAAAAGCGGACAATACAATCGATGATTCTACCTCCGATTAGAGATGGTTGTCTTGGTAACTATCACAGCAAACACACTTCAAAGGCGACGGCTCCACTTGTCGACTCGTCGGTTGATGTTATGGATCAACTTAAATATTGCCGATATCTCCGGCCAAGGCCGACCAAGGCATGGGCAGTTACGGCTCAAGGCATATAGCAGAGTCATAGCACTGAACGTTACAATTATTTGTAACAGCCAACTTTTATTAGAGCCATGAATTGGTTCGCCGGGCAAGTCAGTGCCAAACTTGCACTTGATAAGAGGGCAGTACACAGGATGTCCATTCAATTCCTTTGGTGGAATATCTACCTGTGATATTAATATTTGTGTATTGGTATGTCTGTGTATTCGGCATATCTGCTTGGTATATTTGTCCTCAGTGGAATATCTATCCGCCGAAATTAATTAGAACAAAACCAGGGCTGTTGGATATTGTATGCAGAATATTAATGCTTAAATTAGCAAGTGCCCTTGTAAAATGTGGCCTCAATTCTGGCTACATTATTTAAGCAATAGACCACACTTTCTATGGGTTTACCGGCGTGATAATCCACTTGGAATGTTGGGAGAACACAAGAAAAGCTTGTAAATCACTCGCCAAAATAAAATAACCTTAAGTTTTCTATGAGTTTACCAGCACAATAAACCATAGGTTCTTAACCAATCAGAACGCGCGTATTATCTTAGTTATTTTATAAAAAGTTATATTCCCTCGCTTTAATTTTCAAAAGGAAAAAGTCCTTCTCCTAAATTCGGTGGCATTTTAATCATCAGTTCAAGCAGTTTCAGCGAGTTCTCCTACGTGTTACTCGTTGAGTGTCCCGGAGAAGTCAAAAGCTTTTCGTGTTTTGAATGGACACAAAGAGACTCGAACGTCAAAATGTTGATTATGAAGAAAAATTAGAAAAAAGAAGATGGAAAACTATTTTTTGCTTACGTCAGTGGTCGCACCTGGTGCAATAAATTTCTTGGAGTGAAATTTTCCTGTCGTCTTTCCGTAGTTTTAGCGTTGGGAAGATAAGGGTGAATTGACTTTCTCTAACAGAAATCATCTAACGATCTTTTTCGTACCCCTCCCCAAGGTTCGAGAGTCACTTGAAAGATTTGTGACTTTCTCCAGGTTGTTGTCCTGACAACTTTTAAAAAGCACAAAGGTGTCCTCGGAATGTTTCAATGTTTCATATGTCTCTGAATACTCAATTCAAAGAACGAAGGTTCCCTTTAACTAGGTCTGTATTTGACCAATGGTAGAACGGCTGTTTTTGCTAAATCTGCCGCACAAATGTCTGACGTAATAACTTACATCAAGCCAGGCAAATTCTTTCTTAAAACGCCGGAACTTAGGATTTTCCACTGACGTAAGGCTTTACAAAAGTGGCCCTAGGAGTCTCCACAGACGAAGCAAAAAGTCATATCAATGTAAAAAAATCGTAACAAAACATGGCACGCGCGAATGAAAATATAATGATTTATGTAATTCTAGCAACACTTGGACGTTTCAAACGCAAGCTTTATTTAGAAATGCCTATTTTTGAACGTAGGAAACATCTTACAGCTGTTAAAGGCCATGAATGTGTATGATGGAAAAAGATATGATCAGGGCCCGTTTTTAAGTTCTTTCGTTGTTTTACCAGCTTTGTACTCAAGCAAATTTAGACCACACACCAACACAATCTGATAAATACTTATATGGATAAATATTATCGGTTTTCCATCCTGAACACCTTAAGTACCCTAGACTCCCATCGAAGCCCAGGAGGAAACACACCTGTCAGAGTCTCGTTTTAAATGAAATCTCTCAGGTTTGCTTTTGTCAAAATAACTCCAGAAAAAGAAGCAATTTTGTCGGTAAGGTTTCATGTCAGTGTTCTGTTTCACAAAAAAGCAAATCTCATCCTATGATTGCACTTGGTAACTACTAAAACCTGGGAAGAAGAACCTCCAGTTTCTCTCCAGGACTGTTCTTCTTTCATGGATACTGCAACACTTTTCTCTTAGTGTCTGACGTTTTGTCCCATTTCCTGAAGAAATAAAAGTAAAACAGAGGTTTAGGGATGTCGGCATCAGAGGAAAGTATCCTATTATCTTTTGTTCTGAGGAAATCAGAGGTCGAGTGACGAGAAAACAGGGCAAGAAGTTGTTGCCATAACTGTCTATTTTAAATGTCCCTGCTTCTAGTTTCAAATGATATTAACCATCACGGAAATTTCAAAGGAAAATCACGCGTCACGCGTGAAAATAGTAAATCACGCATCACGCTGCTATGCCTAATCACGCCTCACGCTGATAATTTGGGTCCCATCACGCGTCACGGAAAACCCCTTTACCACCCTGTTATTGAGGAGGAAGCCATGTCCCTGTTGTATTTGCGACTGTTTTCGTTAGAGTTTCAACCCATCTTTATTCGCCTTATGTTGCTGATTCAAGACCGTGACGCTTGACGGACTTTTACTCTAACAGGGCATATATTAACATATCACAAAATAACATTATGCTAAATTACAAACAGAAAGAAGGCCCAAAAAAACTCGCACAGAGTCGAGGAAGACCAAAATTAAAAAAAATAGCTGCTGATTAAGACTAGTGGAAAAGATTACTTTGTTCTTTTTGTTTCAGAATAAAAGACACTTGTTAACTGTCAAAAAGTCGCAGTAGAAAAAAGTTCTGGTTTTGTGCTTTACTCATATTGAAATATAGTACCTTTAGAGCAGTTTAAAGGGATACAAAGTTCTAAAACTAGGTACATGTATGTGAGAGGGGCAGCATTTGTTAAGATATGGTATACGAAAGGAGTACCTTTCAAAATTGGTATTACTAAAGGGTGAGGGGTTGGACCTCGGCGCGAAACCTCCTTGTCTAAAACTTTGTTGAGTACCCCTGGGGGTGTTTTGATTTTCGGCGAATCTCAATGTTGCAAACGCTTACAGGTCTTCAACACTTGAGGAACTATTATCAGATCTTGGAAAGAACACTAATTAGTTTGATCGATTTCATTCTTTTAAGCTAATATAATTCTCTGACAATTACGAACTTAATGGCGTTCCTGAGGGTCCAATCTAGTAATTAGTTACAATGACTGGCAAAATGCTTGGCTGGCAAAAGCTTTGAGTTTCAACGTAAATATCACACAGCAGTTATGGTATACAAATCAATAAACGGTCTTGCTCTAGAATACTTGAGCAACTTGTTCACTAACCGTGATAGTGTCAACTCTTACTCGCTAAGAGACACTGAGAGCAAACTGGCTATTCCAAAGCCCCACACAAACTACATAAAAAATAGCTTTGGCTAGGGAAGGGTGCGGTGCTGTGGAATGGCCTCCAAATTGAGTCGTGGAAGGCAGACACTCTGCACAGTTTTAAAGCGGCTTACACTAGCCAATTGTTATCCTATAGATAGTGAAATTTTTGCTTAGTTATAGACGCACGGCTCTCATGGAAAGTAGACGTATATAGTGTACACATTATTTTACCTATTTTCTTTCAGTACATTTGCAGTGGCGAATCCAGGGGAGGGGCATGAGGCCCGGCTCCTCACTGATTTTTAGACCAAAATGAGGCCTGAAGGGCCGGAAAATTTTTTTTTGAGACTGCCCCCCCCCCCCCAAGATCTCAGGGTCTGGATGACCGGCCCCCCTCCCCTTATCTGAAAGTCTGGATCCGCCACTGTATTTGTACATAAAATACCAAGTAGCTAATTAAGTTATAGCATTATTTACATATATTTGTCTTGCTTTTTATGGTATACAAATCGATAAACGGTCTTACTTTTTTGGTCTTTTTTCGCATTACTTTTTAAGTCTGTTATATAACCTTTTTAGTTCTGATGGGAAACCATGGGTAAATAAAGTTATTGTTGCTGCTGTTGTTGTTGCATTAGGCATTTTTTGCCTAGACCCAATATGACTGAAAGAGTGTAATGCTGATCATTAAAGGCCTGGAAAAACCTTTAGATTATTGAACCACTTGAAATCAATAATTGATTAAAATTATTTCTGCAAGATTGATTTATTCTCAAACACAATAATAATACCAGTTTCATTTCTCTCAGTTTAGGGTTTTCATTCTTTCTCTATTTTCTTCATAAATATGAATGCTGACCTTGAATCAACACCTCATCTGTATGTTAGGGTTTATATGCTGAAAATATGCACAAAAGCCTCTTCAATGCATGGATGGAATGATACTGATTGGTAAATAAATGGTACCTATTTGACATGTACCTATTTGCTAAAGAAAGTTCAATGGTGACAAGGGCATGTCTTGGCATTGAGAATTATGTGTAGTAAGTCAAGTTAGAAAGCTACATGTAAAGCTCAGAGAGTTCTCAGATCCAATGGTGATGGAAGTGGGGATGCAAAGACCCTTAATTTGTTTGAAGACTTTTTTGGGTTCGGAAATGTGTGTCAGCTTTGTTGTGCCAAATTACTTGGTGATGACTTCTTTTAGGGGGTCTAAAGACAGAGTATTAGTACATACAATGCTGTTTTTAATTCACAGGTGCAGATGTGAGTGCAACTGAAGGTGTTAGGATAAGGGTCACTTGAGGTTCAAAATATACTGAGATGATCATGAGGACTTAAGTCACACCTTCTGACCTACAAATCAAACCCTCTGTAACAAAACATGCCAGTAAAGAAGATAAATTTGTATTTTCAAGGGGAGTTGTGTCCAGGCTGATGGACCTTTCTTTGGTATAGTGTATTCTTTTCAGCCGCGGATCCACACCGGTTTCCACCGTTTTATGGAAATCGGTCAGATTTTTCACGATAAACATTTTTAATAATAAAATAACAATAATAGAACTTTCTGGAAAATAGTCTGGACAAATGTTTTCTTTTTCCAATTTCCGGGCATTAGACAGAAACCCGAGAAAGGGAACTTTAGGGACTTTAAAAATCAAAAAAAAATTCCTGGGGGCTCCCCTAGATGCTTGCTCCCTCAGCCCCTCGTTTAGGAAATCGGTCAATATTAATCCTAGATCCGCGCCTGCTTTTAGCATATTAAAACTATAATTTTCTTTTCGGAGCCTTAGCTCATTAATATACCTACCAATCAACAGGGTTACAGCTAAGTACCCCTCAAAGGATAAGTTACAAAACAGGAAAAGAGTTAAATTGAATTTCAGTCTAACACTGTCACTGAATGGTGTGTTCC